GGTTCCGCGGGATCCTGACTTCACTCACCCTGATAGGACGATCATTCTTGTCCAGCACCCGTGAATTGTTCAGCGTGAGATTCACGACGTAGTCGTCCAGGTAGCGTGGTCGCTGACGCTCGTGGACCTCGCGCAGTATGTTCAGAAGGATAGTAGACCTTACAGCCCACCACGTTCTCTGCGTAGCCCAGAACATAGCCTAATTTGGCATTACTGTCCTATTTGCGCCGGTTCGGCATCACAGGAATGTGTACATACGCTAGCGACCCAAACTTCCGAATATGATGCACGTCTGGTTTTGCTCCGAAGAACATCTCGTACGGAACTCTCTGTGTCCCCCTGTTGTAGGACCTGTTCTTGATATACACAGCGTTTCTCATTGCCTCTGGCCACAGACTACGAGGAAGACCAGACTGCTCCATCATGGCCTTAGTCATCTCCACCAGCGACTGGTGTGTCCGCTCACACAGGCTCAACTGCGAGCATTTTGGCCCCACTTGGATGTGCTCGATGCCCCGCGAGCTGTACCACGCCTCCATGGTCTCGTTCACAAACTCACCACCCCTGTCTGTGAGTACTTGTTTCACCGTGAACGTGATCACCTTCTGGATCATTCTGCCAGCTTGACGTTCAGCCCATAGCACATATCCCTTCAAGTAGTTGTTTACGACCTCACTCGACTTGTTCTTTAACATGTGAGCCGTGACAAATCGGGAGTATCCGTCCATGATCACTAGGACAGCCTCAAATCTGCTGCCATTCCCTTTACCTGGGAAAAGTAAATCTGCGTAAACCACTTGATAAAAGTAAATCTGCGTAAACCACTTGATTCGGCTCCTTGGTAGCTCTATCCAGTTTCTTACGGTGTATTTTCTTCTTCTGCTTGCCCAAATGGCATGCGTCACACGTGTCCTGCTGGCGCTGGGTCAACATCATGCCCTGCACGAGTCCCCGATCCGCCATAGTGTTGAGATACTGCGGACAGATGTGCCCCATGCGTTCGTGCCAGCGTTACAGAGTTCCAACTCCTTCTGCCATCGTGTAACTGGCTAAGGACCGGTCCTCTGGTCCCACAACGCCTCCATTAGAAGGATGAATTGCTTGAAAACCCCACGTTGCTTCCTGCAGGTTGGCTACAACAACTCGTCGCCCCTCCCAAGATACTGTGAAACTTCGAGTGGCTTGGTCATAGTCCATCTCGAACCCTTGCTCATGCGCCAAACCTGGGGAAAACAGTCCAAACTCTGCATCTGGTACGTAGAATACATCATCAATGAACATGACGACTTCCTCTCCATCAACTTCGTTCACTAACGCCACCGTGCCCATACC